TGGTTAATCATCCACCTGACTCTAATCCTACAAGATCCCTGACTTTGTGCAAGTGTATAGGGTGTAGAAGTGTAAGAATTGATGCTGGTTTGAAGCCAAAGGGTAGTTACACCAAATATTGATTTGATTTAGATTTTTCTTCTGTTTGCTCACTTTGCATTTTGTAAATTGATAAACAAATGATTACAATATATATATTTTTGAAAGCATTCTTACTTTACAGTGTTTTTTCACACCTGCCTAAAACCTTTGCACGGTACTGTATGTTTATATATTAAAACTGGCTAAAAAGTAGCGGCTCTAAAATCGCAGTGGTCCACAAGCTAAACCCTAAAGCTGAAAAAAATCACAGCATCTTTGGTTTTGTTAAGCATTTCAAAAGCTTTGAGTTTTAGACTGATTTAATGCATATGGAGCAAGGTCATGAATGATTACAATAGGGGTGGAGTCAGTGCCTGCTCCCACTAATATCTTCAAGGATGATTCGAGTTACCATAATCTTGCCTATATTTTGGGAGAAAAAACACAATATTTTTCAAAATGAAGCTTACAATTTAAAGTACTTGCATTTTTTTTAAAAAACTGCTACATGATTGATAAATAGCACTTTAAAAACTCCAAGTCAGTTAATCGAACAGGTTAATCAGCAAAATACTGTAGTTTTAAAATTATCAATTTTTTTTTAAATCTAAATTTTCTAAATCAAAACAGGACAGAGAATCCTAGCGATGCTTAACTATGATAGAATTTAAAACTGAACAATTATTTGAGGGAAACTGTGCAAAGAAATGTACTTCCTTTTGTTTTCACTTTAGTTTACCCTGCTGAATTAGACACAGATACTATTATGCCTTTCATAGATTAAGTCTGTAATATATGTTACAGTAAATTTGTATTGTGGAATTTTTCAGGCAAAATAAAAAAATGAAAACAAAACAGGATACAGTTGGAGCAAGGGAAAGTACAGCTGCATCAGGAAGAGACAAGAAAGGTCAGGAGACAAACACAGAAAAGAAAAGAAAGAGGGCGGGGAAAAAAAGAAAAAGTCTAGTTTGTTCTCTGGTTTTAGAGAGTGAATAATTGCAAAGTAACAGAGAGGTTGAGACACCATTTGTCACTGCTTTTGCTTTCCTGAGAGGACTCAGGGAAGAGCATGTAGAGTCCAGGCATAAAGGAGATTCTCCATTTATAGACTCCACAAATAGTTTACTTGAATCCTTAGTCACAGAGAACCAGAAGCAGTTTCTCTCTTTTAATAATGCATATTCTCTTTAAATTGCATCGGCCTCTATTTTGCAAATGTAAGACAACTGCCCTCTCCTGACATTCACAGGTCATTAATGTGGTGAAGAAAAGTTTCATCTTCCTTTTTTGGTAAATAAATACCTTCAGTACTTAAGGCGGAATGTTATTAGGGAACATGTGAGAATGTACTATATTCCTAATTGGCTTGTAGGTTTTTCCTTTGTGTCTTGGTTGCAGCATAAACAAGAAAGTGAATTCAGTGGACACTTGGCTGGATCATCAAGCTCTTTGTGTTCTCATGGTCAATTCCTGAGGCAGAAGAGGCATTTGTTGATTTTATGTGCTTATTATATAACTTCAACAATGAAAAATATTTAATTAATGAATGCAGAATATTTCCATAGTAATAGTTATGAGACAAATCGGCATCTCTTGCTAGGTGTCCACTTCAACTTTAACCCATGCTTGTGCTAAACTATATTGGGAATTGTTTCATACATTAAAATTGGTAACAGATTCATAACATGGTTGAGATGGACCAAATGTTACTTTAACCCATTCAATTTCATATTTTAAATCTTCTGAATACTCTAGAAGAACTGGAATCCATCATCATATGCATGTAAATATTTACAACAGAAGCATTATATAACAGCTTAGTTTATTATCTGAAGAATTCCTGAGGGGTAAGAGCCAATCATCTTATCAAAACTGCTGATCTGAAAGATGCCACTGTTTTAGATACCATCATAATAAAAAAGAGCTAAAAGTGACTATAATATCAGCTTAGTGGAACCGTGCATTAACTAGAGGCTCTTCTGTGTACATTAAACATGGTGACTAAACATATTTCATTCCTGCTCTTTTTCAGTATAATTACCATTGCTGATTGCTCATCATAATTACCATTGCTGATTGCTCATCATAATTACCATTGCTGATTCATCTAACAAATTATTATGGACTTTTCAGACAGGATCCCTTCGTGGGCTGAAGTTTGTAACATGTTAACATGAAACTCAAATTCTTTTATAAATTACAGGGCATGAGTTTTGTGTGTAGAATAAGACAGGCTAAAGATAGGTTCCATAAGCAGCAGAAGCCAACCTTCATCTAAACCATGAGAAATTAGTAGAAGAAAGGTTAATAAATGTAGTTTCAGTGAAATCAGCATATATAAGATGGGAACATCTGGAAGATTTTGCAGTGGATTCTCCAGGATTCTAAATAATAGAATCAGAGAACTGAAGCATTGGAAGGAAATATATATTCCATCAATTGAAGCAGCCATCTATTCTTACAATGTAGCTGATAAATACATTTTTGCTTTAAAATCTCCAGTGAAAAAGAAAGTATTATTTCTATAGCAGCCTGCTTACTATTTAAAAGCACTAGTAAGTTTTTCTTGTAATTTTAAAACATATATTCATCAGTATGGCAGATCTATCAAGTAGATTCTTGACCTGTATAAAGATGAGATATAATATGGACCAGGCCAGAGTGGAATGTCAATTCTGTGAACTTTAACTATAACTCAGGAATGTCATATACATTTTATATATGGCTTTTGAAGGGTGCTAGATTGGGAAAGACAGGCTTAGCATTACTGATGACATAAACATTTATTGCCAGAAGATAAGTGGCATAACTGACTATTGGGTATTTTTGACATGAAAGGACTAGATTTTTTCCCCTGCACATGAAAATAGGTATCATATTCCTACACTGTTCTCTCGCTTATAATTATTTCCACTCAAAGGTCTATCTGATCTCACTTGCATTGCAGTTTCACTTCCTTTTGTGAACTGCACAATGTACTCTTATCAGTGTACTGCACTCTTTCCTCTGTAGTTTGTCTGTTTTCTGTAAAGTTTCCTGTTTTTCTTTGTATTACTGCACATTTTTCAATTCAAAGATAGAGTAATTCATTCAAATGTTGTTCTAGTTCTTTCAGTTTGTCTGCTTTCTTAGAGATGCTATATGTCCTTTTCATTTCATTTTACTTCTAGAGACCTATTGATTGGCTTCCAAAGTAGCATGCTATATGCTATAATCCTTCTGTTAAAGTAAATCTGATGACCTCACCATCATTAAGTGAATACCAATTAGAGACAACATATTTTGGGAGTAATGCACTTGGTATCTGGGCTACTTATATTCAGACTCACTTTTTAAATATTCACATCCACTTCCTGCTTGAACATTACTGTTAATTTTATGAGTAGGAGCTGTGCCATCCCAGTTTGAGTTCCTTTTTCACTTCCTAGAATATGTGGGGGAATTTGCTTTGAACATCAACTTGGAAAACTGAAATACTGATTTAATTAATCATCAGAGATATAAAAATGCCTCATTAAATCAGAACAAATATCCATCTAGGCCAGCATCCTGGTTGCTACTATATAGCCAACTTTATCTCTTGGAAGCCTAAAACCTGGACACCATAGACTTTTCCTGCTATTGTTTCTTAACAGATGGTAATCAGAGAAAGCATGTGGCCTCTATCACTAGTTCCTTTAAGCCATCAAAGCTATATCAGAACATAATGAACATAAGACAGTAAAAGCATGACTTATAACAGAGAATCTCATCTGATCTTAATACTCAGAATAGCCAGGATTGCATATCACATTGAGCTATAGTTTGTCTATTCATGGTTTGTTCAAACTACAATTTTTGGGGTTCACATAGAATAGCCTCTGCAACACCAGTTAGTAGTCATTCAGCTTCTCCAATAGTTATGCAGTGAACTGAGATTGCAGTCAAAATTAATAGAAGTCAATTTTCAGTTCCTCAGAATGACATTGATTTTTTTAAAGCAATCAACATCTATTGCTAATTTTTCTACAATACAGATAAAATATTCATCTATATTTTCTGAAGAATAATAATAAACTGCTCATGAAATCAATAGTGTCATAGATTGATCAGATCAGAGACAGGCAACATTTTCTGTTGAAGGCCATATTCCTAATGAAGCAAAAAATGAATGAAGAACCAAAATTGGTAAAGTCACCCCATCTCTCTTTTTAATACCCTTTGTACACTGGAGGGAAGAGAGAGATTATTCTTACCAGATGTTTTGAAAATATCTTGAGAACCACATGAAATTAGAACAATGTCCATATAATCATCGTAAGGCAGCAGTCTGCCCATTTTAGATTATATCAAGGTTTCTGGTAATTTCAAAGACATTTATAAAAACATAATTGACAAATTAATTGCTATGTACATGGAAATATAGAGAGCAATTGCATAGGAAAAAATGTGATTCATTTTAGCCATGCATTATCTGAGAAATAAATAATTATTTCTTTCCAGAAGAACGTTCCAAGCAGAAACAGACTATATGAGGGGTGTTTGTGGATAAGCTTGCTGAACCATAGTGGAGAACATAAAACAATACTAATCAATGAATGATGTCCACATTTAGTTCTTCGGTCTGATGATGGCATATTCTGTAAGTTCAGTTTCTTCAGATGGCTTGCTTCTCTGAAAAAGTTCTCCATGGTTTAATGTTGCATAAATAATTGGGTCTCCAGGTAGGCCTTCATTATGTATAGAATTCAGACTGTTTCTAGAAGCCTTCTGGTAACTGTCTTGATTCCCATTTGTAACTTGAAGCAAGCAAGGCATGCAATCTTCATTAAAGTTGGATCCCTCATTTGAGACATGAGTGGCGCTTTCATTGCAGTGTTGGGTATTCTTACAGCAATTGAACAGCAAACATCACAAGAAGAAACACAGAACATAGTAGATAGGTAAAGTTAATTGTCAGCAAAGAAAAGAACCATCCCTAAACAATTCAAATATTAACTATGATGTTAATTTTAAACACTTCATAAAAAATAGACTAGGGACAAAATTTCCATGGGATTGAACTGCCTAATAAAACAATGTGTATAGAAATGGAAAATGGTTGAGTTCTCTTAATCTTTCCTTCTACCACCATCACTCCATTTGTTTTTGTTTTTGTTTGTTTGATTTATCCTGCCTTTATTATTTTTATTGGCTTCCAAAGT